ATGTAGTATAGTTTCAATTTTCGCAATTGCATTTCTAACAAAGTGTATATTAAATAATTTATTCCCTGAATTAAACAATTCTTAACATTACATACGTTTAGTATTAACCGGGATACAAAAATTATTGCAAATTAAAATTTATTTGCTGCAATTAAATATCCAATCTCGGAAGCGTATTCTTTTTGACGCCAATAACCGGATTTTTTGAACATTTCGACGGGAACACACTTCGAAGTGTTTTCGTAGCGCGAGCATTGAAGATGCCAAGTGAGATTTTGGCGAAACGTCTGCAGGATTCCAGTCGGAGTTCAACAAGCGAACGGATGATATCCCGGAATATAGTGTCATCACATTTTTCCATCCGTGAATCAATACGTGAAAATATATATATATATATATATATATATATATATATATATATATATATATATATATATATATATATATATATATATATATATATATAATGATGCTGAATTAAATCCCAAACCCAATAAAAGTGTTCAATGAGTTTTTTAATTAGAAAAAACATGTTCATTTGTGACCACAATGGTATAATATATTCTTGTCATAGATAGGTCAACGCATTAAATAATGGATCCATAATAAAAATTCCCAATTTTAGTTTTCAAGTGTAAAAAAACATATTTTTCCGCAAAAAAATGGATAAACTCATTTTTCTCAAAAACTGCTCAAAAAATACTGAAAATCAACCAAATAATTAGAATTTTAAAAAATATTCATGGCACTCTGTTTAACAACGGAACACAATGTATACACAAAAATAATATAAATAGAATATATACTTAGGGACAAACACTTTTTGTATTTATCTTTTTTTCCTCAGTGTGGAAAATATTGAGAGGTATAGGAGCATCTTAAATGGACTCTGTAGGTACAAGATTATATTTAAGTCATGCGAATTATTACGACTACTAAATCGGACCCACAAACAAAGTTCGAGGAAAGAAAAGAAGAAAATGAGATTTTCCCAAAATTTTGTCAAGGGAAGAGATGTTAAAAATGAAAAGAATAAAAAATAATCTTAAGTCAATTTCGTTTTTTTTTGTTTAGACCATTTTTCCATTTCTGCTAACATAAAGTGGTAAGGAAAGGATATTTGTTATTTTAATCTTAATAAGTGTGGATTGAGTCATCAGAATCAAACGAGCTAGCTCTCGTTAATAAGGGCGTTCCTTACCCTATATTCTACGTTAAAAGTAATAATAATCTGCATTTGACAGTAGAGGCTAACAATCGTTGCCCGCTTTTTCAAAGATTGTAAAAAATAAGCGAAAATCGCAGCAAAATATTAATAAATATAAAAAAGTAGGTTTCCAACTACATTATTTCTAAAACAGGGTAGAAAGCAAGGTAATAAGTTTTTTTTTTTAATTTAATTTTTAAATGCTTTAATGGGGTACTACACCAGTATTGTGTGTATCTATCTATTGCAAGTATTGATTATTATTCGATTTAAAAAACTTTTGATTTACATACGACTAAACAAAAAAACCAGCAATTTTTTAGAAATTTTAGGTACTGGTCGTGGTCTCCTGTATGGATAAATAGGTTCGTTCCATCTTTAAATCACAAGCAGGTTTGAAATAAATATTTCAAATTCATCATTATCATCGTTCCATTTCATTCCCAATTATAAAAGCATCAAAACTATAGAAAAACACATACGTGTATGTTACGTTAAATTTAATAATAATTAGCAAGCAGAAAATCTCAAAAGCAAAACTAAACAAACTTAAACACTCGGTCCGCTGTTTTCCACTCTTGCCAAAACCAACTCATGACTAGAGTGTCGTTTATCAAAATTGTTGCATAATATGCTATTAACAAACATGATGTTTCCGTGAAAAGTAATCCTTAATTTTAAATACATCTCTCATCAAATCGTGAAAACAAACTGGGAAGTACACGATAGTTGGTTAGTTTTGGTTAGTTTTTGACTACTTACCATCTTAAGTCTTAAAGTCTTTTGAAAAGCAAAACTTATAGCAAATTCAAATTTTTTAACGTTTAATTACTTGATCTATAGGATATAATGGTACCTAATACTATGTATATAATGCCTAATTTTTAGTATGTTAAAAGTTTTTCAAACCAATCAAAATCAATCAAAGTGGCTAAAGTATAATTGGGTCAGTCCCTTTGCATATCCAATGAGGTTTTGAGACTTTACCTGGATAGTCTGTACTTAACAAACCGTATCTGACTAGAGTTGGTACGAACCTAATGTAATTGGTCTTTGCTGATGACGTACCGCGTATAGAAACAAGGGAATCAGGTGGCCCATACCGTAGCTGAAGTTATAAATATTGTTATCGATGACCGAAAAGGCGGAAAGAGAATAAAACACCGACAAGATAATGACGAAAAAGATTTGTAGTTCGAAGAGACCGCGGGCCGCCACCAGAAGTTCCCAGAGGTTCCGGCATATTTTCGCAGTGAATTTGATCCGGCGTATCCTTAGCGTAACATTGAACCTGTCATCGGTCACCGCGTCCACCACCATCGTCTTCAAGAAATCGAAACGCCTTTTTAGATAGCTGGTGAAACTGCAAACGCAAAACGCAACGAAGATAGCATAGAAATTGGTCAACCTGAAACACGCAAATAAATGAGATTTTCTTTTCGTATACTTACTTTTTATTAAGTACAAATTTATATTTTTACTGCCGCTACCCCTACTCATCCCGTAACCAACTCTTTTTTTACAATAATCCTTCTAACCAATTTTGGGTCATTTAGTAGACAGTAGAGGGCTCTGTGTGCAGATTTTCTTTTAAATAAGAAATGATTTTTTTTTGCAAATTACTCTATATAAATTTTATCTGAACTAGCACTAGAATGCCTTTGTTGACGCGTCAGTGGACAAGGGGGTCATGCTTAGTGGGATTGAAGGTCATGCGCAAGAAGAAATCATGCAGCTGACTCCCCTGTCAGAAGGGTTGCTGGACTAAACTTTATAGCAGCGGAACCTATTGTCATCATAGCGACGTTAGTCATTAAAGAGCTGATAAAGGAAAATCCCGGGAAATAATTTTTAATTTTTAAACAATCAAAAAACTCTGTAACTTTAAGCTTGATCAGTTTGACTCACCATTTGGAAAATAACAGCAAAATTCGATATATTTTACATCCTCTGGACAAATAACCAACGAATGTGCGACACATCCAGCCGATTTCCCAAGCAATGATAAAGGAAAATATGCAGATGACGAGTTTGACGCGAAAACATTTGCTTTTCTGAGAAAAGTTCGTCGACTTCAGTTTGTTTTCGATTTGTTCCAATTTTTCGTAAAACTTGATCCAGTTTTTGGTGTTAAACCCGGAATTTAGGATACACGTTATCGCGAAGCCCACTACTGAAATTAAAGACTAGGTGGTCATGGCTAATGGAGCAACAAATGTCATACTAACCCGTTATACCCTTCAGGTAAATGATTACTGCAAAACTGATGGAGCATAGACGATATTCTAGTTCTGGTGCCCAAAAAATGGAGACTATGACTCCAATTGCGACTCCGACGATAGCAGAAATCACAAGTTTAAAAAATACGGTTATCCAAAATTTGGTTAACGAAATGGGCACAATCAGCAGAAATTTTCCGATATTGAGAATTGTTATTAGTAATTTAATATCTTCCTGTGCGGTTGCTTGGTGTTGATTAAAATGCTGCATATTACTAATTCAACGAAACTGCCTGTCGCAGACTGTTTTATATCTACCCAACAATATATTCCAATTGGGCACTCACATGTAATTAACGAGTAATTACTGCATAGTATATTATACTATTGTTACGTTTTATCATTAATCATCCCTCGTGGAACAAACAATTTTTGTTTTGGTTCTAATAATTATGGTGCAAACAAAAGTTATTGGGCTGTTCCGCCCACTTATCATAAAATGAGTTTTCACATTAGCTAGAACTATCGTAGTGCTATGATACTACCGACACTTCCTTTGCCGTAGCCGATATATATGTATAGAATGTATAACGCTCCAAATTTTACTATAAGGATAGTTCTTTAGCTATATCCACGGTCTACATCGATTTCATTTTCTGAAAACTAGAAACAGCTGTCTTATGCAGTTGATTAACTTTTACTTGTTTGACTTGTTAGACCGTATAACCATAGCGCTTATGATATATGTATGTATATTATTTGCTGTTATGGAATTGGAATTAAGTATTCAAAAACATTACAGTGTTACATAGAATTGGTATAAACGCAGTTTACAATTTGGGTACCATACAGGGTGTTATTAAAATGAAACCATATAATTTAACGAGTGAATCTCATGGTCAAGGAACATATGACTAAAATAATCGCTACCACAGTTGCAGCCTGGTATTCGCGAAAAATTACTCCAAAAGTTTAATATAAAATATTAGTCAGGTCACTGCTTCTTTCAGCGGGCCACATTCGATAATATAGTGGCCCTACTATGGTAAAAATTTTCCCCCGCATGCCTCTAAATTTCACACACTTAACTCGTTTTCACAGAACATTTAACGAGATCTAGATATATTTTGTGAAAATACTGGCGTAAAACGCCGCAACGAAACAAATTGACGATCTATCAGCGGTCATATTGGTCGTTGAAGATCGCAAGGTCATTGGTTCAAACTACGAGATTTTAAATGTCGCGCATGCTCAAATTGCGTGGACCTTCTCAAAAAAAAATTGACGCACGCAATCAAGGAGATAAACGCTGAGTGCACCAAGCTCCCGAATGGGGATGCGTGACGTACTACGTAGAAACATCAAAAGACTAAGTAATTTGATCCTCATATGCAAGTAACTCATTAAACTTTTTCGACCAGGATTGGTGACAGCACTACCAGCTGAACTGGCGGAAATATATATCCGATGTAACTATCTTTTCTGATTCATCGAGCTTGGGCTTGGGCCGCGTGTTAAAGTTAAGCAGAAAAATGTTGCAAATTATTTATTTTTTCCTTGGTTAGAATAACAATTTCTTAACTATCGTCGAACAAGTAGTAACAACAGTCTGTACTTTAGGCGTCTTCGGCGAGGAAGAAGACATAATTGTAGTCATTACTAATTTGATAAATGCATCATGCTCATTCTAAAGTTTTTAAGGCATTCTTAAGTCCTGATAATACTAAGCTGCTGCTTTATATTTTAAGCTTGCATCGCTTCATTCCGTTGGATATTTTATCTTCCTACTAAAATTATTCTGTGGTGTTGATGCAAATGGTTGATGTGATTAGTAAACAAACTCGATTTTAATATCTGGGATTCTTGTTTGTAATTTTATTCCAGTCTTGGATTAATCGTTGTTTGTTGTAGCAAAAAACTCGTGGTTTTATTTAACGGAGTGAAATGGCTCTTCGTACTTATGGCGACAAACCTATTAGCTTCCAACTCGAAGAGAATGGCGAATATTATTGTGTTGGTTCTGAGGTATGTAGTTTTCATTATTTACATTTTTTAGCTACATGAATATGATGCATTTTAGGTCGGTAATTATCTTAGGCTCTTCCGCGGGTCCCTTTACAAGAAATACCCTGGAATGTATAGGCGTTCCATCACAAATGAAGAAAGAAAGAGGCTCATTGATCTAGGCTTATCGCAGCATGTTCTTGCTAGCAGTGTTTCATTGCTCCGCACTATCGAGGTGGAAGATATTATAGAAGGCAACGACGAGAAGTAGCCGTTTATGTACAATTTCACAAACCAGTTGATAATTTATTTTGAAATTTAGGTACAAAGCAGTATCAGTGCACACGAGCGATCCTCCGCTACCTAGGGAAGGAAAGAGTAAGAAAAATTTGCAGTGGGTACCTAATTTGCCGAATTCCAGTCATCTAGATGCAGTGCCACAAGCCACACCTATAAATCGAAACAGAGTAGCAGCAAAAAAGGTTCGTGTGGAATATGGTAGTTTTTTTAGTTCTGTAATGGAAGGGCATAGATGCGTTAATTCAGGTACGATCATTTCCGTTGTGTTTTGACGATACTGATCCCCAATTGAACCAAGAGAACGCCTGTCAGCAGGAAGTTTTGGTTCCCATAAGGCTTGATATGGAAATTGAAGGTCAGAAGTTACGAGATACGTTTACTTGGAATAAAAATGGTAAGATAGGGAACGAATATTTGGACGTTCATGTAGTTGATGAATTTCAAGCAACAAATTAGGGACATTGATGTTTGCACCAATATTTATATAAAAACTAAAAATTGCAAAAGAGAAATGGTATTAAATAACAACATTTTGTGAGTCATTGAAAGACTATTAAAAGCTATGTCTCACAAATGGAACCCTTTAGCTGTCTTCAGAAATATATGTAAAAATTGCAAAAAAAAATTGGATTGGACAGGGGTCTTTGAAATTTCCCTTCAAAAACTACTTCTAGCTGCCCTACAAGCTATATATGCCTTTTTTAATATTAATGGTAAGAGAAGATTTTTTAAAAAAATCAAAATGTGAAAAATGAAAAAAAAAAATTAGATATTAGAAAAAAAGAAAATATTGAATTTACCTTTACTATATATAACACTCACTATTGACTATTTTTTTATCACGATGTTATTAGCTTCACTTGTAAGGTACTCGCTTCGGCGGTACATATACTGAGTAACTGTGTATAGGAAGCTTCCACTTCGGGAGTCCGGTTTTGGGTGGAGCTTTTTGTGACCCTTCAAAATTTTTTTACTTTTTAAAAATTTGTCTTTTTTTATCTCAATTGTAAGTAAGGAGTTTTGTTTGTTAATAATCTCCAGGATGACCCATTCCCACAAATTTTGTTGTTTAATAGCATTTCTTTTTCGCAAATTTTAGAAAACGTCAATGTCCCTAATTCGACCCTAACATCACACAGGTAGTACTTGGTTGCTTCGCTTATGTTGTCATGTGCATATTTCAGAAAGTCTTATTACGCCAGAACAATTTGCTGAAGTTCTTTGCGACGATCTGGATTTGAACCCGATTGCTTTTGTGCCCGCCATAGCTCAAGCCATCCGTCAGCAATTGGATGCGTTTCCCAATGAGCCGCCCAGTATAATTGAAGACAATAGCGATCAGCGGGTTATTGTCAAATTGAATATCCATGTGGGCAATACTTCTTTGGTTGATCAGGTCGAATGGGACATGAGCGAGAAGCAAAACAATCCTGAGGAGTTTGCGTTAAAACTTTGCTCAGAGCTTGGATTGGGCGGAGAATTCGTGACGGCTATAGCGTATTCCATCCGGGGCCAACTTAGCTGGCACCAAAGAACTTATGCTTTTAGCGAAGCGCCTTTGCCAACTGTGGAGGTTCCATTTAGACCTCCTTCCGAGTCTGACCAGTGGGCACCATTTTTGGAGACGCTGACCGATGCCGAGATGGAGAAGAAGATTCGAGATCAGGATCGGAACACGAGGAGGATAAGGAGACTGGCCAACACTACACCGGGCTGGTGAAGAGAAAGAATAAAATAAAGTTTTAAATTATTGTATGATGTTTATTGTATTCCAACTTTTTCCATGACAAGTTCGCTTAAGTATAAATTGAAAATAGAGTTGTTGTCAGATTTCCTCCCACACCTTCTGCTGGCAAGGCCAGTCATAGATTACCAATTAAATGGTAATGTTAACAGATCCACGAAGGTAATTTTTTCAAAACGACTTTTTATCCAAATTTTTTAGAAATTGGTAAAACAATTTAAAAGGGGCTAATTTTACTCCAGTAGATTTAAAATTTTGAAGTCCTGCGTACTAAGAGTATCGTATAGTCTATCTCCATCTTCATCGTGCTGGCTTTTGCGAGCAATTATGGAAGTTACCTGCCAACGGAAATGAAACTCGGGTCGTTTTTTTTTTATTTAGGTGGATATAGTCTAATTAAATTGCACGAAGAAAAAAACTCACATTGCATATTCCAATTCATAGCTAGGAATATACCTTGAATTAGAGTTGTGTCAATCGTGAATGATTCGGTCACTTTCATTTTCACTTCATAGTATCGAACGACCGAATCCCGCTTGTTCGTAACGATTCGATCACCATGTTCGCTCTCGCGGCCGCCCTGACCTGTCTGAAGTGACCGAATACAGGACGAACGATCGACAGACCGTACCAAAACAAATCGAATTCCCCTTGCGGAAAACGATTGATTTGAATGGTTTAAGATTTAAATGAATGAGTGAGACAGGTCACGGAAAAGGAATGGCAGTATTATTATAATTATTCTATAGTATTGAGTTGCGACATCGATAGGTAGGTTCGCTAATTTGTTGAATTGAATATTGAATGAAATTTCTATTTCCACACATGTATTTAATTTAAACAAATTAATGTATTACTGGTACGACCCAATACGTAGCACCGATTTTGATAAAATCCTGAGGCAATAAAAAGCAGAACACAGCTAAATATTATACTAACTAAAATAGCAAACAGAACATATAGACACAACAATAATTTAAATTCAAATGAATCTCAATCGGTCGTTCGGCCTGTTCCGATTCAGTGATTATTGAAAAGTATTGAAATGAACGATTGATTAAAATGATTCGGAATCCGTCACTGATTGATTCAGTCCTCGTAAAGTGAACGATGGAGACCACACTAATTTGAACAATGCGATCGACGCGCCAACTTGTTCCTTATATATATGAAACAGCAAATTAGTCGAGAAGACTGCCGAACGTTCTCGAACGAAGTATTCGAGAACACCATAGAATCAGAACAAAACTTACGAGAATTTGCCTTGTTGTTCTCGAAAAACTGTCTGTCCTTGTTGTTGGAAGCCAGTGCAAGCGAGACAAGCGCACGTCATGGCAAACATTTCTCGATAAATCTACTCTCTGTGTATTGGGTGTCCCAACGAAAAGTTTTTTTTTAGTTAATAATTTAATCTTCTGAATAACTACGTATACCTACACTGTTGGAATATTTATATTATTACGTCATATCCGACAAGACCCCGTAACAAAGAGGCGCCGCCTTGTTTTTTTTGCCGATCGTAAAATGTATCGGCGTCTCAGGCAAAAAGGACAGGGTGGGCAAGCTGCGGTGAGGAGATAATTAGGGTATTATTATGCGATGTTTTTGGGGGTTTACGATGAGTTAGTGAAGACGTAGTTGTCGAACGGAGAGGATTAAACTCGATTCTGCTTCATTACGTGGTTTTATTTTTGATGATCCTTACAAAGCAGCGGTGGGATCAAACTAAAATCACTTACAATCGTTTTTTTTTTTCTCTTCTCGGACAAGTTAAAATTATTGTACGTCATGGGAAGATTTAAATCGAAAACAGTTACAAGTGAAAAGCGTAATAAACGGAAAGAACGTTCATCCTCGTCTTCGGGAAGTGATAGTGACAGTTCGAATTCGAGTTATAGCTCTTCCGATAATAGCTCGAGGAGAAAACGGACAATAAAACGTTTGAGAAAAGAATTAAATGATTTAAAAAGGCGTAAGCCGGTCTTTCGCGCGGGAGACGAACTTTTAGTGCCAAAATTTGACCCAAGTCGGGATGACGTGATGGTGGATAATTGGTTGAGTAAAGTGGATAGTTTGGCAGAACGTTATCAGTGGGACGATGATACTATTCTTCGAATAATTTCCGGACGATTACGAGGTAATGCTCGTCAATGGTACGACGAGAACGTGGAGTATGACTCAAGCTGGATTGAAATTAAAACATCAATGAGCCTCTATTTCCGTAAGTCTGTTCCATTTTCCAAGTTACTAAAGGACGCTGCTAATTACGAAACTAAGCCGGGACAAAACCTAGGAGATTATTGTTTTAAAAAAATGTCTAAATTAAGGGCACTTAACATAAATATACCTGACGTTTATTTGATTGACGCAGTAATCGGCGGTATTAAAGACGATAATATATCGCGAACTGTTAGAGCCGCACAGCATGAGAATGCCAATGCACTTTATGCGTATCTAAACACCGTGGGTAACATGCCTACGGAAATTTGTAGTTTTCGTCAGAATAATACTAAATTCAAACGTCTGCCTTGGACTGGCTTCAATCGAGGAAATTCGAATAATAAAGAATTTTCTAGAAAATCTGAGTCCCGCCCAACGTGTTACAATTGTGGTATTCCGGGTCACATTTCAGTTAACTGCAAAAAACCACGTCTTGAATGTAATAATTGCAAAAAACTAGGTCACACTAAAGAAAAGTGTCCCTTTTTACAAAAGGAAATACAGCACGTTAATCTGTTAGCAAAGGAAAAGTTTCCTAATATATTCTTACAGCCCGCCCGAATTTTTGGCAAAAAAATAAAATGTTTAATAGATTCGGGCAGTTCAAATACGCTAATAAAGGAGTCCCTCGTTAAGAGATTTGGATTGCAACGTATTGATTCGGAGAGTATGACTTTGTGTAGTTTTATGGGCACTTCTTTAGATAGTAGGTCCCTTTGTAAAATAACCGCTACTATACAAGGGGTTTCGGCACAAGTAAGTGCCATAATTCTTCCGGACAAATACCTTAAATATGATTTATTAGTTGGTCGGGATTTTATTAACCAAGAACATGTAATCATGATTAAACGTGACGATCGATTAGTTTTATACAGCTTATTCCCCATTACAAGTGTGTCTGTGAGTTTGGTTGAGGTTTATGACACTATGGATTTAAATAGTGTAAATTTGGGCCCTATTTCAGAGGCTGATAAAGTAAAATGTATTTCCTTATTGCATAGTTTTTCGGATTGCATTTCATCTTCCATGGAAAATTTAGGAAATACGAATACGGTAGAGATGGAGATAAAATGTATAGTCGACACACCGGTTGTACGTTATCCTTATCGTATGCCTGAGGTTGAAAGGGGTATTCTCCGAAATATGATTCAAGAACTTTTGGATAATGAAGTCATCCGCGAATCCAATTCTCCGTACTCCAGCCCGATTACACTTGTTAAAAAAAAGGATGGAGGCTATAGAATGTGCGTTGATTTTAGACATCTCAATGCAGTAACCATTAAAAACCGTGGTGTATTGCCACATATCGAAGACCAAATCGACAAATTAGGAGGATTTAAGTATTTCACCAGTTTAGATTTAGCATCCGGTTTTTATCAAGTTCGCATGGCTGCTAATTCCATTGAAAAGACTGCATTTGTAACACCCGATGGCCATTACGAATTTTTAAGGATGCCCTTTGGGTTAGCAAATGCGCCTTCAGTTTTTCAATCATTAATAAACAAGGTTCTGGGACCGTTAAAAGATGAATTTGCCTTCCCCTATATAGATGACATTATAATTCCTTCATTGACGGTTGCGGAGGGACTAGAACGCTTAAAAAAGGTGTTAATCCAACTTCGTGCACATAACCTTACTTTAAAAATCAGTAAGTGCGTATTTCTTGCAACTACTATAGAATATCTTGGGAGAGAAATCAGTGCAGAAGGAGTGAGGCCAGGTAAGAAGAAAATTCAAGCGGTATTGGATATGAATTATCCTTCCAACGTTAAGCAAGTGCGTCAATTTCTTGGATTAGCAAGTTATTTTCGAAAATTTGTCAAGAACTTCTCCATGATTGTCGAGCCTCTAACAAAATTAACTCGCAAAAGTGCGAATTGGATATGGAGCGCACCACAAAAAGAAGCATTTCACCAAATTCAACAAAAGCTTATATCTTGTCCAATTCTTGCAATATATAACCCTAAATTAGAAACCGAACTTCACACAGACGCATGTTCCATCGGTGTCGGGGCAATATTGCTTCAATATGATGCTGAGGGTAATACACATGTTGTCTCTTATTTTAGCAAAAAAACAACAAGCGACCAAAGGCAGTACCACTCATACGAACTCGAGACTATGGCTGTAGTTTATGCCTTAAAATATTTTCGGGTTTATTTATTGGGGATAAACTTTAAAGTGGTTACGGATTGTAATGCCTTGCGAACGACCTTATCAAAGAAGGATTTGATCCCGCGCATTGGAAGATGGTGGCTGGAAATTCAAGAATATACCTTCGAAATTGAGTACAGGGCCGGCAAAAAGATGACGCATGTTGACGCTCTTAGCAGAAACCCTATATCGAACAATAATTTTAAAGTTGAAGTTTTTCATATAGACTTGACAGAAGCTGACTGGATTACCGCCGCACAAATGCAAGATGAACAGATTTGTAGAATCCGAAACATTTTAGCCGATAAAATAAAAAATAGCGATACAAAGTTTTACTTTGAGCAGTATGAGTTAAGGAATAACAAATTATACAAAAAATTAGGAAATGGAACCAAAGCATGGGTTGTTCCACGAGCAGCACGTATGCAAATTTGTCGTTTGTGTCACGATGATTCTGGGCATCTTGGTGTAGAAAAAGTGTTACAAAGAATTTGTGAAAACTATTGGTTCGCAAAAATGAGGAAATTCGTAACGAAATATGTTAACGCATGTCTAAGTTGTATGTATTACAAACAGTCGTTTTCTAAACGAGAATGTAAATTGAACCCTATTGAGAAACATCCGATTCCTTTTCATACATTACATGTAGATCATGTTGGGCCGTTTATGACAAGCAAAAAGAAGAATAAGTATATTTTTG